TAGATCCACGTGCCATGTTTGATGGATGTCAGCTATCAGTTATCTCCTGTTAATTTTCCCTCTGAAAGTTCTCCACTGCCTTGACCGGGTATTGTCACTGGATCTAACCAACGCCTTTATCCACTGTGCCATGTGTCCTTGAGGACATCTGGGAGTGAATTTCTGGGTATTATAAACCTAATGTCTTCAGCAACCATTTTTACCAGTGCTCATATTGCAATTTTTCTGTTATCATTTCATGTTTTTACCAGAGCTCATATTGCAACTTTTGTTGTTATCATTGCTTTTCTCTGGCACTCCTTATTACTGGTTCCCATATTGTATTTATTTCTGTGCTTGGTCGGCTCAGGAGACTTTTGTGGCTTAGCATATGTGCGGATTCCTTAAGTTTACGAATTTTCCAATGGTGTTTCATGTGTATGATCTCAACATGATCCCACAGATGGCGGTGATCTCCCTTCTCTCTCCATATGTGGTCAGCCACGCCTGATTTTTCTACTTCACCTCGTGTTACAGCTTTCTGGTGTTCTTGAAGCCTTACCTTGAAGAGGCGGCCTTCTCTCCTTTATATTCCTTTCCACAGCTGCACGGTATAGCGTACACACAGTTTTTAGTCATGTTCTTCTCTATGGGGCGTCTTACTCGGGAGAGATATCTGCGAAGTGTCGTCAAGCTTTTGAAGGTTGTCCTGATGTTATATGGAACGCAGATCCTTTGTATTTTCTCTGATAGATGAGGAGGACAACAGCACTCGGAAAAGAGTCTGCCTGCCTTATATAGTGCAGTTTTTTCAGTATCAATCTGTAGCTCCAGAATCGAAGAAGTTTGGTTTCCACTAAGACCGTCAATCTTCATTCACTCGAAGCAATTTTTAATATTTGATTTTGAGAAAGCGGTTGTATTCAACTAAGAATTTAGATAGTTCTGAATGATTTGGGCGTAACTGATTTAATGTTTAGTTTAGAAAAATTAGCAGTGGGAGATAGGCAAGAAGTAAGTCCTGTAGCAACATCAGCACGGCAAAGGGCACTCCTTTAAAGGCAAGGAAGGGCAAAAATATTTAAGTCAAGTGATAGCGATTGCTGTATGAGTCGTACGATTTTTGAATCAAGCACGGGCAACAGCGGGTCATGCTGCTAGTTAAGTATAAGCGTCTAATGATTTTTTTCTTTTTCGGATTTGGCGGATATTTGGGCGATATTATTTTCACACATAATTGCTATGACTTAAATAACATGATCCAATAAAGAAATAAATAAATTTCCACTGATAACACTGATTTATTTACTGCCTACTTTGATCCGTCTTAATGAAACACCCTTTAGATCCAACTCTCGTTACTATGTGCTGCATAAACAGCTAATATTAAAAGGTTGTAGAACGAATATCTTTTTGCTTGTTAGTCAATGGTAAGGAACATATTTGTAGCCATTCGAACAAAGACCAAAAAAAGAATGAATTATTTCACCCAACATCCATCTTGGCTTTAAACAAGTGTAGACGAAAATACTGCTAACTACAATTCTGTTGCTGAAAAATGTTTTTTGTCTATTGATTACGACTCGAATTCTAGATTTATAGCTTCGCTGACAACCGAAATAAATATATGCCAATTTGGACAACATCATATCATCCGTTGCCTCTAAATCAAGCTTCCATTTTCGTTGGTGCTAACATATATAGATATCGAGCTATAGATTAGCTTTCTTTTTTCGTTATTTTATTTAGTTTTTGACAGCAGTGCTCACACATATCATTCTCTCGAACTGATTGTCAACGCTTTGAACTCTTATTCTTAAGACCCGCCTTCTAATAGATATTTGTATTCAATTTTAAGTTGTGTGTTCGTTTAAGATGCGGGTTCATCGAGAAGCTATAAATTATAGACAGTGAAATTACTTCGTTTAAAGGTAGATCAATTCCTAGTCTGCTATACGGTTATTAACAGAATTTTGATCTTTGTTATTTTTTATTATATAATGTTTGATCTATGTTATTTTACATACTGTTTCTCACCATGTATATCTCTCACCTATTTCCCGCTATGCATCCCTCTCTCTCACTCTCTCTCTCTCTCTCATTATATATATATATGAGACAAAACGAAAATTTATCTTAGCACCATTTCATTAATACCATCACTCGCTGTGCAATATTATATCTATATGTCAAGGGCAAAATTTACATTGATTTTCATAAAATCTTTATATATAGGGACGCGTATACATATATATACATATATATATATATATATATATATATATATATATATATATATATATATATATACATATATATATATACATATATATATATATACATATATATATATATATATATATACTATTACATATATATATATATATATATATATATATATATATATATATATATATATATATATATATATATATATATATATATATATATATATATATATATATATATATATATACATATATATATACATATATATATACATATATATATATATATATATATATATATATATATATATATATATATACATATATATAAACATATATATATATAATATATATATATATAATAATATATTTATATATATATATATATATATATAAAGGACGCCGATCTCCAGATATCTTAAAGGACGCCGGATATCAGATAGCACTTGCTTGGGGTTAGCATACGAATTACAAAGTTCTTCATAACTTAACTATATATATATATATATATATATATATATATATATATATATATATATATATATGAGAAGTAATTTTGACTAATGCACTTTCAAGGAAATTAAAGTTTGCGTGGATGGAATTATATATTTGTAAGAAGGGGAATGGAAGTGTAAATACATAAACATTGGCCATAATTATACACCGACATGAAAGGCTGCAAATGTTAAAAAGTTGACAATTTAAACTTTTAATTTATTGTTTTTTTTTTTCCAGATGTGTCTGTATTTGTAATCTAGCCAATTTCATTCAATTTCCTGAATGAATTCCTGATTTTATCACTTAAGTATCCCACATTGTGAAAATAAAAATTTCAGCGTTCCAATTTCTTTAGCGTTTCTTGTCGTTGTCCTGATATATAGAAAATTATGTATTGTATTCTTCACCTATATGTATTGTTAAAACAGAGTCGACAAACTCTTGCACATCTGGGTTACAAATGTGGACCCAAGTTTAAAGATCATGTTTCTGTTGTGCTTTGA